TAAGACATCCACGGGGCCATTTAGGGTACTTACTGGATATTCTACAGTCCTACACTGTCAAGAGAGAAGAAGAAAATATAATCGTAATGCATTTACTTCATGAATTACACAGGTAACTCAACGCCCAAGCCTATGGAGAAAACGCCTCCTCGTGCTCTCACTACCATCGATGGAGAGCTGGTGAGCAGTATGGTGCCCAAAGAAGCGAATAGTGTAGTCCGCGTGACTCTTGCCAACATCGAAGAAGCGAATATCTTGCTGCAGAATGGCCTGGACTTTTATGGCGCGACTTACTTCCCCACCGAGTTGGCTACTCCTGCACAGGCGGCTAAGCTTATAAAACCCAGCAGGTACATAGCACTGTAGTTAGCCGATCGTTGATTAAAAAAGCTTAATTTAAGCAGTATTGTTTTGTATTGGCGTGATGGCCCTTTTATACAGAATTTTATAAATTAGAAACTCCTTTAAACTTGGCACAGAGCGATTGCTTGTGAGTAAGCTTATGTGGCTCCGACGAAATTATAGCGCTGCGGTAACGCTGTTACTACATTATGCTGAGTCTGTGTCCTTTTTGGTGCTGCAATCCAGTTTTTTAAATAATGCCAAATGTTTAAAAATTTATAGTGGTAGAACCAATCTGTGGCTATATTATACTTGTAGCACGAATGGGTCGACTCGACCAGGGTAGAACCACATTCTCACAGAACACCGGCTTATTACTGCTCTTTCGTGCGGTCACTATAAAAAACCGGCGATCCTTATAGCTGAAAATGAGGCATTCCATCTTTGTTCTAAAGAGTGACAACGCATCTGCATTTTCATTCTTAATTGATCTTTTATTTTTAGGTGTCTATTGACCACAACATCCACTTACCCTTAGGTGGACTGTGCTCGTTTGTCACCCATATATTATTAAAAAAATTCTTAGTAAAACATAGTTTGTTGAGCTTTGTTCGAGTTCATTGTGGTCTTTAAAATATTAAGTAGTTTTTCATCAACTTTTAAAGCACACAAATAATTGGGAGTGTCTTGCAAAAGCATATTTAAAATATAGGAAAAAAACATTTTTGAATGGTAAAATAATAGGTAAACCGAAGGAACAGACTCAGCTCAACGCCGTGTGGTAGCGACATAAAATATACCATCCATTAGTTTCGCACCGTGAGGCTAAACAGTAAAGAAATGGCCTCAAGTGCTCCACTCATCACGTTCTGGCTTCTGGAGGAGCGAAAAGTGGAAGCCCGTCTAGCTACTCAATGTGTGTGGAGCAATGAGTAACAAGATGGATGAAGTATGCGATATGATGTATGATAAGAGGAATAGATGTGTTATGTGTATATGAGATGTAACGGAAGGGAAAGAATGCCTCTACACATGACATGTATACCGCGCACTGGTCTCGTGTGAACGAGACCGAGCTGGCATGTCAGGGAGTTCGTATCATCCTTTCAGAAAGAATGGGTCAATGTGTGAAAGAGTATGAATGTGTAAGCCCAAAACTGCTATGGATACGAATGAAAGTGGGCTTAAAGAAGTTGTTTGTAACAGGGGTCTACGCTCCAGACATTACTAAGCCCAATTACATTCGTGGGCAGTTTTGGAAGATGGTAAGGATTGTGTAAAGGAAATGAAAGTATTGTTATTTATTAGTAGATTTTAACAGAATGTTTGGGGTGAGAGGCTTGGTTATAAAAGAATATTGGGAACGTTTGGTGAGGAAAGTATAAATGAGAATGGTGAAAGCCTTATCACCATATGTGTGGAAAATAATCTTTTTGTGACCAACACTTTCTTTCGTCATAAGAAGATTCTCATGTTTACACGGGAAAGAGATGATGATAGAAGCGTGACAGATTTCATAATTGTGGATGAAAGAATGAGGAGCGCAGTGGTAGATACTCATCATTACTTGGTTGTATGCCGAATTAATGGTCTATTCAGACGTTGGCCGCATTGAACATTTGTCTCTACCACTGCATTACAGCGTATAAAAACTGAGAGGTTTCAAGATGAAGGTGTGAAAAACAAGTGGCATATGATATTGAAAGAAAAAAGGCTGTCTTTAGACGTCTAAACAATAGAGTAAAAGAATTATTTGAAAGGAAAAAAGCAAGAAAGAACGGATAAGAGTGATAGAAGAAGAAGAAATATAGCTTCCAGGCAAATATTAAAATGTTCAGAAATTCGTAAGAACTGCCAGGGGACATCAACACAGCCTATAATGAATGCTATACGAGACGAGAATGGTTGTATTCTAAATGATGAAGTTTTGAGTTTAAAGAGATGACAGGAATATTTTAAAAGCGTGTATTTGAGTAAGCAGACGTTTAAATTAAATGAAACAGAAAGTCCGAAAGAAGAGGAAAGGGATAGGGTGATAAATATAGATGAAAATCATGAAAGAAACGTAAGAAAAGTAAGACAGAATTTCACTCGATATGTTAAAGGCTAGACAAGAAATGGTGGCAAGCCTGCTGTAAATTTTTGTTGGGAACTGAAGAGGATAGCGGGAGACTAGTGCAAAGCCGTGATAGTCCCAATATTTATAAGAAAAGGGTTGCAGCAGGACTGTAAAAACTACTATGGTATCAGCCTTCTTAGCATTGTGGGAAAACAGTATGCAAAGGTACTAAATGAAAGAGTTATGAAAGAAACTGATAGAAAAATTGGGAATATGCAAGCTGGATTTAGAAAGAGAATGCGGTATAAGGATTAAGTATTTTCCATATGCATGAGAAGTTTCTGGCCAAAAATCAAAAAGTTTTTTGTGCGTTCACGGACTTGGAAAAGCTTATGTCAGAGTGGACAGGGATGTGTTATGGCAAACACTAAACTCTCATTGAAGTCTCTATATAGGGATTCTAGTGCTTGTGTTAGGATCAGCCGGGTCTACTCGGACTGCTTTGGCATCCATAAAGGTGTCAGACAGGGCCGTGTGGCTTCCAATTGCTGTTCAACCTATTTATTGACAACTGCTTGAAAATTTTGAAAGCCGATGATCAAGTCATATTTGCGTCGTCGGAAGCCGAGTTGAAAATGATGGTTACATTAATGAACAAGTCATCAAAAGAAAGGGGTATGAAAGTGAACGCAAGTAAGACGAAAGTTATGGTTTTTGAAAGAGAAGAAAGTAAAACGATATGTGAAATAAGAATAGAAGGGGTCAAAGGTCAAGCAAGTAGATGAGTTTTTGTATTTGGGATGTGTATTGAGTAGGCTTGGGAGATATGATAAGGATATAGAACGACGAGTGAACGCAGGAAATAGAGTGAATTGGGCTCCACACTCTATTGTGGAAAGTCAGAGTGTGTCAAAAAAGGCACGCATGGCAATTCACAATGCTGTGTCCCTGTGCCCTACATTAACGTATGGTAGTGAAAGTTGGGTGTGGCAGAAGAAGCACGAGAGTAAAATGAACGCAATAGAAACGTGGTCGTTAAGGAGAGTGTTAGTGTTACTCTGAGTGACAGAGTGAGAAATCGTGTGATAAAAGAAGAGCGTGGTTTGCAGGATGATATTGTAACCGGATTAAGAAAGAAATGCTTCGGTGGTTTGGTCATGTAGAAAGAATGAATGAAGAAAGAGAGTCAAAGCAACATAAGTTAACGGCAGAGTCGGAAAGGGACGTCCTAGGTGAAAGTTTATCTACCAAATTGCCGATATATTGAAAATGGGCCAAATTAAGAGTACCATTAACCGACGAGCATGTATGCGTAGGTATATGGATGTGGAGGAAGTGAGAGAAGTGTGTCAGGATCGTGCCAAATGGAAGTATGTAGTAACTGCCTATCCCTCTAGGTGACAGGCGTGAGTGTTTATGTTATATTTGTTTTAATAGGTAAGCACGTAGATAATCACACGTACTTGTATTAGTAATGGTACACTTAGTATCTTATTAGAGCTTGGCGTGCACTTCACCGCTTTAAAAAACATTTTCTCATCCTCAACAGAGCATATCGTTCCAGAGTGACTGGAGGAACGGTGTCTGCGAGGGTGCGCGATCTCCTCCCAGTCTTTGATCAGCAGGGTTTCACTAAATTCGCACCACCCACGTCTAGACTTGTTAAACCTCGCACCAAGTGAAAACCGACTACAAGCCGTTAACTAATTTCAAGAAACATCCTCCTGTCTTTGTACTTAATTGATTAATAATAGTGAAAATAATAAGACAAAGTCTTATTTTATTATCTTTCTCCAAAATTTCGAGTTAACTAACTTATATTTTTAAATGTTTTTATTTATGTAATAATATATAAGAAGTTTTAAGAATAACTAAAATTAATGTGTTAGTTTTAATTGCCCTCTTTTTTGCGGCATACACCAAGATGGCTGGGTGGGTTTCCTCGCAACGCAACAAAAATCGAGTAAAACATAAATAACTCCTAACTCCGATGTCTATTTAATCCGATAACAGGTCATTGACGTACAATATCATGTAAATTTTTTGATATACTTACTATATAATGACTACAGTCTTTACGCGAGGAGATTCGGTCTTCTTGTCACCGATTAAAGTATTTATATGTCTTTTAATGTAGTTATTGGACAGAATATTTTTTATTAACGCTTCTTAAATTAAAAATGATATATAAATTAATCTAAGGACATTGTGTGTATATCTTAAGTAATTACGCTATTTGTAATTATAATTAATTGTACCAAATTGCATTTATAAATGCTAAAACTACATTAATTTACTATAATTTATTTTTTGCTTATGTGCCATTTTACTGTTCAACGGAAAAGTTGTTACATTTTAATAAACCGTTGATTGTGCAGTTTTAATTTTTTTTAATAAATGTATTTAAATATATATGAGATTTTTATTTACGGCCAGTAATTTAACATTTAAAAAAAAAAAACTAGAGTCTATAGAGAATAACGTATTTTATTCTTAATCGCTAATATTTTACAGACTATAATATCACAGATAAATAAATTTACGCTTATAGAGAATAAATGTCATTGAACATTTACTTAAAAATAATGAACACTTATGGTTAGACTTTATCGTTTTTAAATCCTCTAAATTTATCTTCGATTTCCTGTAAACTCTTGCCCTTGGTCTCGGGCAAGATAAAGTACATAATTCCAGTTCCAACAAGCGCTACGACCCCGTAGAAAAGGAATGTGTAAACTTCACCCAAGTTCGACATCATGCTGGGTGCTGTTTTGACAACAACGAAAAACGCCAGGAACGTTGTCGCCGAACTGATACCAGATCCGAGTCCTCGCATTTTGGTGGGGAACACTTCCCCGCACATCATCCAAGGTAAAGGCACTAGGCCAATCGATACGGAACAAATGTAAATCATCAAACACGATAATGGCAGCCAGGACATGTTTGTGGGCTTCCCATCTGTCCAGTACAAATACAACGCCAGTCCGATCATAGACATCGCCGTCCAAATGCCACTAATCAAGCACAGCGGTCTTCTGCCATATTGCTTGCACACCACACATGCTACAACTGACATCACCGTCCTAAGCGCGTCAATTATCAACATCGCCACATAATGGTCTATACCTTTTCCAACCGCCTTCTCAACTATTTCAATAGAATAGAACGTAATGGCATTCACACCAGAAAATTGGCAAGTACAGAAGAATATGATCATAATTGCCAGAGGTTTCAACAATTCTGGACTTTTAAGATTAGATATCTTCTCCCTCCATGTTGGGATGTGCTCTGAGTCCGTCGTCTTACGTCTCTCAATGATCTTCTGTAACTCCGTTTTCGCTTCATCGCTGTAACCCCTTAGCCAATAATACGCAGTTACTCCTTTATCTACTTGGCCTTTACCTATTAGCCAAGTGGGACTCTCTGGCACTGCACTTAGCAAAATCACCGAGAGTATTGGAAACAGACAGCAAATCACCGCGGTCCATTGCCAAGTGATGAAAGTGCCAATTAAATGGGCTACTAGGATCCCCACCGCGATAGCCAAAGATACTGCAGCTAGGAAGATACCTCTGGTCTTCGGCTCGGTTGTCTCTCCGATGTAGACCGGGACTAATGGTCCCAGTAGACCAACACAAAGACCAGTTAGAAATCTACCGATTAGCATCAGAGTTAGATTGTTTGCGCATGATATGAAGATCCAGCCAAGAAGTAGTGGTGCACAGACTATGTAGTGTGAGTTGCGTCTACCAAACTTTTCCATCATCCATCCTGCGAGGAGACACCCTGGAGCCATTGGTAATGCTGCCATTGCCGCTAAAAATTAAACAAGCACCATATTAAATATTTTTTAATACTATTCGACACTTTTTAGTACCAGAAAAAATATTAAAAAAAAATTCAAAATATATACAGTTTTCAATATCAGAATTTTTTTAAATTGGGTAATGGTGAGTGAACATGGTACCGGTAAGCGAAGTTTTGGCGGCTACCAAATAGATGGAGGAACGATCTGCTGAGATATGCAGGAAGTTAATGGATGCAGGTGGCTCGGGATCTAGCTTTGCGGCATTACTTGGGGGTAGCCCTTTGTTTAGCAGTGGACTTGTGCCTTCACAAGTTCACTGCCAAACAAAGGTTTGTAATGATGATGATGAAGCGAATGCGATTTTACTCACAATACGTTCAATGATTGTAGTGCGATTATATTTAGTAAAATTAATACAGTTACAGTAAATTATAGTCTAATTTTGAACTTTTTTGTGTTAACAACCGTGTAGAACCTATGTAAGAGTATCCACTTTTCCGTATCATCCTGTCTGTGTCGTAAGAGGCGACAGAGATAAACTAAAACATGAGATGGTCAGCAACATTTTCTGATAACAACTTTGAATAATAAAAAACAGCGGTTGCCAACCCGCCAGCCAAGCTTGGCAACTATGGCCAATTTTCCCTATGAGACAATCTATGGGGAGGCCTATGGTTAGCAGGGGACTTTTAATGGCTATAACGGAAGGGAATGAATGGACAGTTGACGACACAAAAAGGAGCATACAGTTGATTTAAAAACAAACTCCTTCCAACCATGGATCAATACGGGATAATAGATTTTTTACGTCCCCACTACATGACACTTTATGTCAAAATTAGGGATGTTACGGAAGTGGTTATATCGGAACCGAATTTGGAAGCACAGTTTTTAAGTTGAAGGCAGATGAGATAGGTATGTGTTAAGGACACGTCTAATAAAATAAAATTACACACATTATCATAAATATATTTGGTAAAAAACTGCCTCCACCTTAACTGATAATTCAGCACTATGAACTGCATAAGTCGTCTGAATCCAATATCTTCCACGAAATTGAAGGAAAGATCTTGCAAAGCAATCATTTTAGGGAGGTTCCCCGCGCGACAAGTTTAAACTTGTTCGTATGCGCTGATAGCGGCCGCCACCGCCGCTATGCATCGACCTCCGATATAACTTCCGTTTAAAATTTATCGGAATCGAATGTGCAAAATCAATTAAAAGTTCTGAACTATTGGAATCGGAATCGAAGCTTCGTAACATCTCAAGCCATAACGACATAAATATTCATCATTATCATCATTATAGCTCTTTGCAAATCTAATACTGAACAACCACTCCCAAGGAATGCAAAGAGCATGGTTTTAAGCCACCTGTATCCATCGGCTTCCTGCATGTCTTAGCAAGTCGTTTCTCCATATAGTGAGGGGACGCCTTACAATTAGTAACATAAATATTATATAACTCTCATTTAGCGTACCAATACACATGACAAAATACCGTTACCGTTACAGCTCTGCCTTTTTTGCTCTGTTTAGTGGTTGTAGTAGTGCCACTGCTAATTGTGAGGTCCTGGGTTCGAATCCCGGGTCGGGCCAAAAAACAATTATTGAGTTTTTCTCAGTATCAGTCTGCCTGGAGTGAGGAAGTTGGCGGTGTCTCACCTTCGTGCCTCAGAAAGCACGTAAAGCCGTTGGTCCTGCGCCTGATCTCTCTCCGGTTGTATCGGTTTACTGTCCCATCGGATTATGAGAGTGGGGGGATAGAGAGTGCACCTGTGCTTGCGCATACACTTAAGAAATATGTAATCCTGCCCTGCGTCGACGGCTAGTCTCCGTTGAGGCAGGCCTTTGTGACCGTAATTCGGTCTGGAGGACATTATTATTACCGTTACAGCCTAGTAAAATACACTGCTTCATATTTGCCGTAGTTGCCACGCGTGGCAAGTGGATTGACAACCGCTGTTTTTCCTTAGTCGTTATTAGGAAGACTGCTGCCCATCCCTCGATTTGTTTCCTTGTTTCTCTGTCGCCTCCTGCGACACCCATAAGATGGCAGGGGGTAGAGGATATTCTTACACCGCCACAACACGACATGACAAAATGGTAGATCTATATCCCGGGAAAAAATCTAGATTTTTTAAAAAAAATATAAAACTGTATCGCAATTATATTATTTTCAAGAATGCAAAATTTGATACCAACGTTCACGCGGTTTACACAGTAAGATATCAGACTGTAATTAAGGCATCATAAAGATTAATAAATTATTATATACGTTTTCAAATAGAACATGGCAACACAGAGAATAAGCGCTTATTTTAAATTTTATGGTGTGTGAGTAAGTCGAGTTTTATCCTCACGGGTACTAATTAAATTGTTTAATAATAATGTATTCCAGACCGAATTTCGGTCACGGTCGTTAGTTATAACGGAGACTAGCTATCTGCGCAGGACAGGACTAAACTGCATGGTTAAAATGCAGCGACCGGAAAGAGATCTTTTCGAAGAGAGACAGCTTTACATACTTTTTGAGGTACGACTCCGGAATGCTACTGAGAATATCTTTTTTTTTTAAAGAATAAGGGTGATAAACGAGCGTACATTCCACCTGATGGTAAGTGGATGCTGTGGCCCAAAGACATGAACATATTTCTCGATAAAGAATCACAATGCAGTGTCATCCCTAAGGTATAAGATGGGATGCCTCGTTTCCGGTAAAAAGGGTCTCCGGTCTTCTACACTCATCATACGAAACACAATAGTATTAAGCTGCTATTTTACGCTGGTATTCTGTGAGTGTTTTATTGTAAGAACTTCAAATTGTTAATTACAATTTCAAGTTATTTTTGTTTTTCGGTAAAGAAACACTGTCCCCGCCGAGTCAGCCCATTCGTGCTACAACCATAATATAGTTGCAGCGTGATATGAATAAAATATTTGAAGTACATGTAAAGTCTCACGCATATTACGCACTGGCAACTCTTTTTTGCTCCAAAAACCTTTGCGGAAATGAATCGTGGCTTGTGCGAGGTTTCCTGAAATCGGAGATATTTGCCACAGCTGCCACGCTTGGCAGACAGCTACCCGATTTTTTATTTTTACTCATTATTACAAAGACGCTGCTGTACATCTCTTGATTTGATTCCCTCTGTCGCCTCTTACGACACCCACGGGATGATATGGGGCTGAAGTTTTCGACGTCTTGATTTCAAGTTAACGAAAGTTAAAAATAGCCTTCGTTAACTATGACGTTGCCAAAAGCAATAAAATTCGTAAAATCAGTCTTATTCTATGAACAGGTCTATCTCCAATAGATCTCTAAGGGCTCCTGATGGTAAGTTATGATGAAGCCCAAGCTTGTAAAGTGAACTGGCTTAGCAAGACAAAACGAGCAAAGCAGTCACCTATATAGTAATACTTAATACTTTGCCATTTATAAGGATGCCCACATCAGTCCCTAGATTAAAGCCTACTTACAAAAAAATGTTTGTGTGCACTGCTGGTGTCCTATAAATAAATAAATAAAGCAAACGAGTAAAAAATAACACACTATTTTACCTATCCATGATGCTGTGTCCTCATCCCATGGAATAACGCTATCTTTCTCTTTCAACTGTGGTAGGAGAATTGCTGAGTAACCGGATGTGAGGCCAGATGTGAAGGTCATTAATATTGCTGCTGATGCTGCGACGGTCTGTGAAGTGTTTTGAATTATTTTACCCAAAATTAAGAACGGCTTGTGTTAAATAAGAATTTTTGAAAATGATTTTTTTTATAACAAAGTGACAAACGAGCACACAGTCAACCTGATGGTAAGTGAATGCTGTGGCCTGTTGATGTCTACATCTTTCCTCAATAAATCAAAATGCAGATGCGTTGTCACCCCTGAGGAGTTAGATGGGATGCTTCGTTTCCAGTAAAAGGGGTCTCCGGTTCTCTACACTCACCATACGAAACACAGCAGTAAAAAGCTGCCATTTTACGCTGGTATTCTGTGAGAGCGTGGTCCTACCCCGGTGGAGCCAACCCATCCATAATGTAGCTGCAGCGTGGTTCCACCACGTATGGAATTACCATTAAACTACCACGTATGCTATTCAGACATATAGAACAAATGTTTTAATTTTGTCTGTCCGTCTGTTACGGCTAACATTGAAAACAGCTAAAACGAGTGTGATGAAACTTTATGAATAGAGAGAAATGCCCGGAGATCCCTCTTTAGGCCATATTTTATCCAAAAAAACGAATAATTGCTAAAATAAATTGCTTTTGATTATTAACAGGTAAAACCGGAGCAAATCACTAGTCTTATAAGAATCATTTTTATACAGTCAATGATTATTATAATAAAAAGAAATATACTTGGTAATAAAGATTTTTTTAGAAGTATGATATAAAAGCGTGTACATTGCACAATGAATAAATTACTATATATTATAACAAAATCATGACTTGTGAATTAATACTTCAATGTACGCCAAAAAAACATAAACTTTTGGTAAATCGAAACGTGCATGCCTTAAGCGCCAATGTTATACGTCAATTTTTAAAAGTATTTTAAATACGTACAACATGTTTTCACAAATAAAATAATAGTAATAATAATATTAATTCTAATTTTCCGACAATTTTATGTAAAACGCCAAAAAAAAGTTGGAAAATCAAAGTGTGTTTCATATACTACTCATAATGCTCATATAAGTACATAGATAAGATAAGTACATACATACTTAATATATAATTTATAATTATGTATATACCATATATTTAATTATAAATGTGCAATTAATATAAAGAAATGGTGTCACTAGATAATAGTAGATTAATTATATACAAATGAATTTGATAGATACAAAGATGAAAATAGCAGATGAAAGTAGTAATTTAATAAATACCGACAATACACAACTGTCTTATCTTACGACCCCTCTGTGGAATCGTTTACCACCAGCAATTTTTAGGACCGATACGACATAGGGACCTTAAAGAAAAGAGCTTACTACTATCTAAAAGGACGTAAGGCACCTGCATTTCATTAAATTTCACTGTTTTTTTTTAACTTTTTATAAGCCAGTGCTTGACCAGAATCCCACCTAGTGGTAAGTGGTGATGCAGCCTTAGATGGTAAATTGCACTGTCTTAGCGTAACAATAGCCTATTCACTCTTGCCTTGAAGACGCCCAGATTGTATGCGGACGGAAAGATAGACCCTACAAATTATTCCACTCTTTTGCTGTACGCATAAAAAAATGTCGTAGTAAACCGTTTGGTTTTAATGCATAGAATATCGACAACAAAGGGGTGAAGACCTGACCGCCTGGTCGTCGGAAGGTGGAAAGGAGAAGGAGGAATTAAAGCGTGCAATTCCTGCGCACGCTCTCCGAAATGCATCCTACAGAATACTGAGAGGCTGGCTACTCTGCGCCTGTGCTCGAGACTAACAAGGTTGGTTTCAACCAAATCAAGGTCTTTTTGCACTGAGTCCAACGCTACCAGGTGGCATTTTGCCGCACCAGCCCATATGTGACAGCAGTACTCCATGCACGACCAGACTTGCGCTTTATAAGGTAAGAAGCTGTCCCGGCGTGAAGTACCGCCGCACCTTTGCAAGAACACCAAGTTTCCTTGCGGCTGCTTTGGCTCTGGACTCAATTAAACGCCTATAGTTGAGGTTCGGAGAAAATTCAACCTCTAACAACTGAAGGCGGTCAGTGTGCTCCAAGGACACATTCCGGAAAGTAGGAGCCAGAGTGAGCGGGCTCCTTTTAACGGCGAAAAGACACACTTGTATTTTAGAGGCGTTGAATCTAAAGAGATTGGCATAGCCCCATTCGGAGACTGCCTGTAGTGTGAGATTCACACGCTCAATCATAGCCTCTGTTTCGGATTAGATTTGATCCCGGCTGGCCCGAGCACTTGGTTGGTATCTCTCCACAACTGTGCTATCGTCTGCATACCCATACATACCGGGCTTAAGCAGATCGTTTATATGCAGCAAGAAGAGACTGAGGAATAGACCCCTGAGGAACGCTGGCGTCAGTCGCCACAGGATTGGATGAGCAGCCATTGACGACGACCCGGAGATACCGTTCACTCAGGAAATCCTTTATCTATTCAATCAGACCAGAGGATAAGCCGTACGCAGCAAGCTTACCCAAAAGGCTAGCGTGCCAAACTCTATCATAAGCCTTGCAGTTGTTCATGGGTGGCGGTAGTCACTTACATCAGGTGAGCCACCTGCTCGTTTGCCCCATGGGGCTGCCACTCGGAAAGCTTGTACCCCGCCGTAAGACGTTAATTCCGCCTTTGTACATTTTTTGTGCAACAAAGTAGAGTAGAGACAGTTGACGTGGTAGAGCCACGTTGCAGTTATATTATAGTTGTAGCACGAATGGTTCGGCTTGACCGGGGTAAGGCCACGCTCTCACAGAATATCAGCGTAAAATAGCAGCTTAATGCTGCTGTGTTCTGTGTGGTAAGTGTAGAGAACTAGAGACCGCTTTTATTGACAACGAGACATTCCATATTAGTCCTCAGGGGTGAAAACGAATCGCATTTTGATTTTTAATCAAGAGTGACAAACGAAAACACCTGATGGTATGTGGATGCTCCGGCCCATAGATATGTACGAGTATCTTCAGTAAATTTATCATCAGGTGGACTGTGTGCTCGTTTGTCACCCTCATTCTATAAAAAAAAAATTAAATAAATAAACATTACTTGTGACAGTGATCCCAATTTAATACAATCGCATTTCTCTGAATGATATTTATCAGTTCCTTGTTCGTTGTTTGCTCACGTGATATTGCTATCACAGTTGATTGTGACTGCATTTAAATTTATTCGTATGTATAAATTGTAACAATATGCATTACGTTGTACTATCAAACGTTCAAAGTCTACTTGTAACTGAGTGAAATAGTTCGTAGGTACGTAAAATATTTGATTAATGTTTTCAGCTCGTATATAACGTGCTTGCGTTGTATTAACCTTATTCTGTTTTACTACGTAGTAGAAATAAGAATTTAAATAACCAAATTAGATTTGCCGTGTAGTGGCGGTTAAGAATATCCATCACCCCATATATCTTCCCGTGGGTGTCGTAAGAGGTGACAGAGGGAAACAGGCAGGAGATGCAGCAGCATCTTCCTGATAACAGCATCTATATAATAAAAATCTGCGGTTGCCAATCCGCTCGCCAAGCGTGGTAAATATGGAAATTTAGCGCCCCCCCCCATGAGCAACGCCGCAAATAGACGGCTCCCAGTCCCCGGAGATCCCGCTATTCCTGGCTACGGTGGCGACCATGGTAACGGCGGGGCTGGGAGTGCTAAGAATCTCCGGTGGACATTCGGTTGCCGCCTAAAACCACTCGACCTGGCAACATACAGCGCACGCACCATGAGGACTGACAAGAAGATCCTGGAGCTGGAATAAGAGATTGACAAGTTGCGCTGGAATATTACGGGATTGACCGAGATCCGAAGACGGGAAGGAGACGGCGATTCTCGAATCCGGCAATTTGTTTTATCACCAGGAGGGCGACCATCTGTCCCAAGGAGGTGTTGGATTTATCGTCCACAAGTCTCTCGTTAACAACGTGTAAAGATTGGGAGTGTGTCGACGAGGTTTGCGTACCTTATACTCAGAATCACCAAACGCTATTCGCTGAAGGTAATACAGGTTTATGCACCAACATTAGCACAACCTAATGAAGAGGTGGAGAAAATGTATGAGGATATCTTTAGAGCCATGCATTCCTTCAAAACCCACTATACGGTGTTAATACGAGACTTCAACGCAAAGCTAGGCACAAGAGAAAACGGTGACCTGAAGTTAGGGAAATTTGGGATATGGCAACGGAACCCTAGGGGCCAGCAGCTGGCCGACTTCATGGAAAAGGGACCCTTTATGATGAACTCTTTCTACCAGAAGCGGCCCCACAGAAAGTGGACCTGGTCGAGCCCGCAACGGTTCGACAAAAAATGAGATTGACTTCATTATGACGACTAGACGGCAACTGTTCAGTGATGTCTCAGTAATCGCAAGGGTGAAAACTGGCAGCGATCACCGACTGGTTAGAGGCACACTGAACCTAAACGTTAAGTTGGAGAGATCTCATCTAATGAAGTCAACGCTCCGTCCCCCTCGTGCTCTAATCTAAAGACCCGAAACATTTCAGCTCAAGTTACAAAATCGCTTTCAGTGCCTAGAAGATTGCAATGCAGTGGAAGTTAAGAATGATAAGTTCGTGGAAACTATCCATGTGGTCGGAGCTAAGTTCTGCAAGACCCGCCGCAAAAGAACACAAAAACTCACCGATCACACTCTTAATATAATGGCTGTAAGACGGGAGGTGAAGCTGCAGTCGTCAGCAGATTTCACTACAGGCAACTGACAGATTTTCAGATCAGAACTGACAGATCTCCGAATCCATGCGGCGGGACTTATACAACTACAATACAAATGAAAAAGCGATTGAGCAGAACCAGGGCTCCAAAGTCTTTGCCAGAGTTGTCTTCTAGAAAGAGGAAACTGTCAAAGCTGAAGTCTGAGTGTGGCAGCATCGTTTCCGGGATACCTGAGATTTATTGAGTGAGATTGAGAGGTGCTATGGGCAGCTGTACACATCATCGTTGGAGCCACATGCATGTGAGTAACGATCCAAGACCAAGTCTTATACAACACTATTCC